CTGTTACCGTTTCATAGCCATAAATGGCAGCCTTAATTGCTACTTAGTGGTAGATGGAACTTAACACCCTTAATTCAACGGCAGATTTAACGGCAGTCTGAAAATGTGGAAGAACAATTTCTTTGTGGAAGAACAATTTCTGTTACCGTTTCAGTTTCATAGTCACTTATAATATAGAAAGATTCTCTGCAAAACAATTTCTATGCAATTACTTTCCCTAAAATTCATTTTATTTCCACTCATTTTTCACTATTGCAATCACACGGATACTAAGAATAAATTGTCCACTGATTTCCAATGATTGATGTAATTTCCCAAGATATATAATAGTACCATTAAAAAAATCTTACAAGAAAAATGAGTTTTGAAATAGTAATTTTTTGCAAAATGTATGATTAAAATGTAAAAAAAAAAATATTTGAATTTACTTGCAAAATATTTTATTTGAAAAATGTGTAGTTGAATATAAATTTTTGAAAAAAATGATTTTTTGAAAAATAATAGACAAGGATACAAGGGTCATATTACACTTGCAAGCTTTGTTGACATAAGGGTTCGTTTGATTGCAAAGGTGGAAAATAGGTGGAAATAAAATGTTTTACATGAAATTGATTTGCCTAGAAATTGTTTTACTGAGAATTGTAATTAATTGTATTTGATTGGTATAATTTTTCATGGAAAATGTTGGAAGTCTGGTGTCCGTTTGGCTTCTTTTTTATGAAAATTATCCATTAAAGTGATAATATTTTTTACCATTGAGTTTAGAATTTGTTCCAATTGCCAAAAAAAAAAATAAATAAATAAAATAATTATCATACCGAATACCATTTGTTTGACTTTCTTTTGTATGAAAATTGTCAATAAAAGTTAAAAAAAAAAAAAAACCATACCGAATATCATTATTTTGACTTTGTTTTGTATGGAAATTGTCAATAAAAGTGAAAAAAATTTTACCATTGTGTCTAGAATTTTTTCTAATTGCAAAAAAAAAAATTGAAAAATATTTACCCACCAAAACATCAAGAATTTATTTTCCTAAAAAATATGAAAAATTTGGAAAGTTGGAAAATATTTTCTCGGGAAAATTTTGTCTATCAAACACTATAAAAGTTGGAAAATAGAATGCTATCAAACGGGGCCTAATTGTTAACATCATGTGATGTGGCAGGCAATCTGAGTATTTTTTTAAATAACACTTATTCGAATCGATGGTCAAATTTTTTACCACTATGGCCTAAATCTATTAAAACTGTTAAATTAACAGTCGAAATTCTTTGTCAGATTCACGAGTATGGGGAATGGTCTCCTTTAATGAAAGGTTTACATAAGGAATTAGACAATGCCACAGTATTATATCATTTGCTAATTTAAAATACAGTTAATTTTTTCATCTAATATTTTCTCTTCACATCATTTTATGTAATCCATTATGTACCATTTTTATATACAAGTAGCATAATCCAATTTTAAGAATCTCGCTACATGTGTAGGAAAATAGAATCAATATAGGAAACCGGATACGCAGTAGCAGATTCAATAACTTTGAATACAATGGANTACTCCGGCGAACTGAACCAGTGCCCAAACAATATCACTAAACCAGACAGGAACAGAAAGTAAAAACGAAGGCAGACTCAAACTGTGTCCAGATGAATATGCAGATGAATTTTCGTGTATTGATCGTGGAAAATCGATGCACAGACTGGCTTGTAACCTGCTCATTCAATTCATAGCAATTACAATAGGAGTTTTGAGGTTTCAACAGTTTTGGAAAACCAAAAGTCTATTGAAAAAATAAAAAAATGTGGACACTCCTAAGGGGCCAATTTTGCTCCTTTCGGTCCGACATTCGTGTACGTAGGTCGCGCTCGCACACAAGTTCAAGGTCCGACGCCAATTTCGGTCCAAGATTTGTACCCCCGCGCGCGCGCGCGCGCGCATATGGAGAGAGCCTCTATGCTACACATGATTACACCATTCTAAAATACAATTCTTTATAAAATGGTTTTAACTTTCATCCACTTCATATGTGGGACAAAGCTTAAATATTTATTTTCCCACTAACAAACTCATTTCACATGGCATACTTTGAGCTTCAATTTCTCATTCACCCGAGCATCATTTTTGACAAGTAAGTATATGATTTCGATATACTTATGGAGAAGAACACAAATCAACTTTCATCTTTCAAAAGAGCCAAGCGGGTCCCGCTCAAAATTAGTGCCAAAGTCAGCCATTTAACTTAGTTTATCCAGTTTTTCCAACATGTACATAAGAGAGTTTTTATTTTTCAACCAATTAATTGCTTATTGGAAATTTTACAAAATTAATTAAGCCAATGTTTGATGTCCATTAAAAAGAGTTTTTTATTGGAAAAATGAATTTTGAAATAATAATTTTTCGGAAAATGTGTGGTTAAATAGGAAAAATTTTTTTGAATTTATATTCAAATATTTTTATTGTGATAATTTATTGTTGAAAATGAGTTTTAGAAAAAAATTGAAGAATGGTAGACAAACATGAGCTAAAATTATTTCACTCATTTGATGAAACAAGAAGGGGTCAAGTTGCCAAGCCCAAAATCCCACCCTCATCATTCACTGGTGGAACATTACCAAGTACTTTATCTTCTAGAATGAGAGGTGCTTCCAGAAACATTTAACCACCAAACGGGGCGAAGGGAGGAGTATATGTTATTGATCTTCTAACAAATCTTTGGCCGCTAAATCAAATAAAAATAATGTTTTTAATGTTACAAGGGGTAAAAAGTTTTTGAGCATCTCTACTTGGGAAACCCGAAATCGGTTGAGAGCAATTAAAAATGCCAATTCAAAGCAAAAGAGTCTTTAATACATGACACCCAACTTCTTTGCAAACTCGTCATCTCCATCCTCCTCCTCAGGGTATTCTTCTTCAACATCTCCATTATCACCTTCATCTAACTCATAGTATTCCCCATCCAGTTGCTCATAATCCTTCTGCTCATTGCCTTCACGCTCTTGGTTTATATCACCTTCCAATATAGTTACATCTTCAGCTTCTAGCTTACTAGCATCGATTGAACTGGTTTTTTCTGCTCCAGCTTCATTACCCGATGCAGAATGGAAGACTTCCTTATTATTGCAAAGAGGGGTGCTCGTCTCATTCTTGAAACTACTAATTTTTGTTATGTCGTCCTTTCCATTTTTTGGATTATTGTCTTCATCATTAGTTGACGACGTCCTCCCACTTCGAGTTCCGGATATCTCACCTCGCTTCCGCTTTAATATCTCTTCTAGAGACCTGGGCCCTTCAAATGAGAGATCACCACCAGTTTGTTTATGTACATCGAGCACCGAGTGTTTTCTCTTCCCAAGATATTGTTGATAAGTTACATGCTGCTCACTACTATCAGTCTTCTTCCTGATTTTCAGCTCTGCAAAAGTTTTGGGACCAGCAAAATCACCGTTATTGTCACCTGTCATATCTCTCGGAACTCTGATCTTCCCATCATTCCTGAAATCTTGTTCCACTGTTTTTTCTATTCTATCTTCAAGTCTCCTATGGTGAGAGGAGAGATGTGTCCTTCCTGGAGATAGTCTACCAAGATCAGTTCCCCTATTTATTTCCCTACCTCGGCGAAAGTCTCTCCCATCAATTAGAGTCGATGATTTTCCAGGAAGTTTTATTCTTCCTCGAAGGCGGCTTCCAAGAGAACTTTCAGTTTTGGGTACAAGTTCATCTCCACGTGAATGGTAGCTTAGATCCTTAGCATACTTATCCTGGGGAAATTCATCGCTAATGACAGACTTCAGACCATTGGACCTCCTATGTTTTGACAGACGATGTCTTAGATCCGTTTCATCAACCTGATCAGCTCTATCAACCCTAGCATATCGCCTCCTTTCTAGATAAGCAGACCCTTCTGGCGTCCTCTCGCGTGAACCTCTGCGTTGCTCCCAAGCATAAAGACCCTGAACGCTCTCATATGAGTCACAACCATGATGAGTACGAATTCTATCAAGGTCACTATCAGCAAATGAACTGTAATCAGCAGAATGGCCAATATCATATTCATTCCTCTCTTTGTGATCTCTTGTCATTCTATATTGATCTTCACTAGGATAGTAATCAGAATCTCCAAGCTCATTGTCCACAAGAACATCAAAACCTGGGGAGGGTTCCCTTGAGATTTCTTCTGCATCCTTACTTTCCATACCACCTCGTTCTTCAAACATGTTAGGCTGCTGCACAAGACTGGACCCACCAACTGTGTTTCTATTGTTGACAGGAGGACCACTTGGTCTGTAAAACTCATTATTGATGCCAGACGTCAGTTGTATCTTTCTGCTCGTAGCAAGTTTGTTTCTAGTTGGAGCAATTTCTACTTCCACTGTTGATTTTGCCTGTAGAGGCAGCTCAACTGATTTTGATACACTTATATATGGGACCTTCTTCTCTTGTGTGCCATTTTCAGGTTCACCAAGACCGTGCTTAAAAGTCACGGGCTCAGCAGAAGCAGTTGTTCCTGGAACCTGCGCGGCTTTGTTACTTGTAGCATATGGTCCGTGCAAAAAGGGACACCAATCACCTTTTAAACAGAACCCTTTCTGGAAGAATATGCAAGGTGCCACCTGTTTACCAGAAGTATGAGTAACATGTGCAGGAGATGCTGTAGCACCCTGTGATGGAGATATTGAAGATCCGGCAGAAATGGGCAATTGGTTTCCAAGCAATCCATCAAGTGGCTGGGAACAAAATATAAAAATTAAATCGTTGTTTGCTAATAACTTATTCAGAATTGAGTATCATCCGTGTTTTCTTTAAACTGAGATAGAGTAACCGACATATCAGTTAAAAAGAAAGGCAAATCTAAATAGGCACAAGTTCAGTCCATGAATAACTCACCGGATGCCGGAATCCGCACTTCGGATTTAAGCAATTACCATGTAACCAGAAATAACAGTCCCTCGGGTTCATCCGTGCGACGTCACTATGACGATACTCACATTCACTTCCCTGTAGACAAATAATAAATAAAAAATACAAATATTATACATTTACTTGGGAAAAAGGTAAGAGATAAAAAGAAATTTGACAGATATAAAGTGATAAGCGATAGCACAAGCTTCTTGCAACTGGAAAATACTAAGTTGACTTGCGAAGCAAATCAGTCAAAATGATAACTGTTTCAAAACCAAAAAACATTTCTAGTTAATCAAGTAGACCAATATCAGAGAACCGAGACAATACAATGACAGCAAAAGGCATTTATTACTTTCAATAAGCAGGGAAATTTTTTTGTCTAAGTGGTGCTTGATTTGCACAAAGAGAGTTAAATGATTAAGACTGAGATTGGGGTAACAAAAGGTAACAAACCTCATGTAAAACTGTAATATGGAACCCTTTTCAAAATGCGTTAGGCATTTAAATTCGCTTTATCCATTAATTGTGGCCCAATACATGTCTAAACACATGGAAACTAATCTCTTTAAAATAAACGTAACTTGACCAGAATATTTGATATAACCGAAAACCAAAATAACAAAGAATGCAGCAAATCCAGTAAACTCGCTAAAAGACAAAAATACACTAGGGATGAATCGTCTGAGCAATCATTCACCCAATCATTGATCCAGCATTCTATGATTTGTAGATTCCGCCACTAAACCAAACTGTACTTCTAAGATTCTCAGGTTGTTCCAATACCAAGCCAAATAATTACCCGCAAAAAGCTTTATGATGATAGAAACCTAATAAACTTTGAACATTATAATTCATTCCATGATGAGAACCTACCCCCCTGCCCCTGCCCTCCTCTCTCACTCCATCCCCTTAGTTTCAATTCAAAGAAACTCAATTTGCCAAAACAAAGGGTAAAATAATCAGGGTGACTCTCGTATGTTTATACGTCCAACCATGATATAAAACTACACAAATATCCCTATATTTATTGAGTATAGATTTATTAAAAATGCACATTAGATTATTTACTAACAATAGGTGCATCCATATGACATAATAACTTGAAAACCTATTCATGAAAATTAATCAATGTACAGAAAAGAGATGGTCTACGACTTAAACCATTTTAAGGACTTAAAAGGGAAAACATTCGAGAACAATTTTAGGTTATTTCTATGGTCGAACTAAATCTTTAAAGATCCAACAACTTATCTTACTGTAACTCCAATTATCCTTTACCATTAACAAAAACCTATTTTCCGGCAAGGATCTAACCAGGGAAGGAAACCCACATTACTTTACAAAAAAGTATATATGCATACGTGCGAAATGAATTTATATTCCAATCCACCCGACTGAATTGAATTATATGTTCCAATCTGAAAAAATAATCATGAAATTAAATTTCAAAGAAGGAAACGGGACCTTTTTGCAAGTTAAAGGGGAAGCAAGAAAGTAAACGCAATCCGTGTTTCTCTTTAAAGCTTCTTCTTCAAGTGCTGGTTGAGGTTGAGACAGAGACTGAGATTGGGGTGGCGGGCCCACCATCTTGGAGTTGTATTGTGTATACAAGAAAACCCTAAAGAATGAATATGATTATGCTCCGCATAGAGAGAGGGAGCCCTAGAGAAATGAGTATGATTAAGCTCTCTCTGAGTGAGAAAGCTCTCAGAAGAAGTGGAGCAAGTGAGAGTTGTGTGAGAGAGAGTGGGAGGGGCATGTTTGGTTGAGCTTATACAAATCACCCCTTTAGGCAAAATAAGCCACCGTCCGATTCCATTGAATTATAATTCATTTTTCTCTCTCTTCTTATCAATGTTCCCCAATAAATATATTATATATAAACTCAAAATTTTCTTTTTTTTTAAACACACATTCTCCAAAAAATTATAATTCCTCTCATTGTAATTTGGAATAATGGGGGTCGAATGAGCGCTAAGGGAAATAAGTTAAACTAATGTACAATTTTAACGTCTACCTTGATCTCTTTTGAGGTTGCCTTCTTTGCCCAGAAGGAAAGACACAACAATTACCCTTTGTTAATATTGTGACCATTTAGAGACAAAAAGTCAACAATTAATTTTAATCACAAATTTTATGGGGTCCTGTTCAAAAGTTGGTGTGTAAAATATAACTTTTATCAAAATCTACTAAAATTTTTATTTTAATTTATACCAAACAGGGACTAAATAATTAAATACTAAAAGAACGGATAATTTCAAATGTAGCAGCGATATTGCCAAGAGCATCAAGACCTAAGATATATGTCCTTGTTTAAGCCTCGTTTTACATTCATTTTTTCCAAAACTCATTTTCAACCCGTTCTCCAATTAAATAATTTTACACATAAATAGAAAAAAAAATTCTTATTTTTTAATCACACATTTGCCAAATAATACTATTCCAAAATACATTTTTGTGGTAATTACATAAATCCAGGTATTTAAAATTTGGTTTTTAAAAATCAGGTCAACAATTTTTTTATTCAAAAATCAGGTAATATATTAAAACCCTAATTGATAACCTAATTTATCTCTCCACTCCCTTCCCTTCCCTTCCCTTCCCCTCTCTCTCTCTCTCTCACATCCCTCATCTTCCACATTCTTTTCCTCTCCGTCGAACGCATCGGCAGCGCCTCCCTCCTTCCCCTTACTTTCCTCCTCCTCCTTCCTTCCTTCTCCCTCCTTCCCCTCTCTTTCTCTCCTTCGCCTATCCTTCTTCTCCTCTCTCCTTTTCCTCTCCTTCCTCATCCGCCTCCTTTCCTCTTCAGAATCCGAGTAATGCGAACTCCCCGACTCCGAATTACTAAATCATCATAATCAGACGACGAAGAGTAGGAATCACTATCTCTTGACCGTTTTCTCTTGGAACTGGAGGTTCGAGTTTTATTCTTCTTCTTCATTCGTTTTCTGCTGCCCTCGGATTTTCCAGATTCTGAGTCGGAATCCGGATCTGGTTCTGAATCGTAGTTAAGGCGGTCACGTTTATTAGATTAAGACACTCCATTTTTTCCTTCCCCAGTTCCGCTTCTATCTTACCCTCAATTTCTACCGTGTTCACATGGTAGTGTTGGTCTTGCTGGAGTTGGGGACTCTTTTCAGATCGATGATGGTGTTTGGAGGGTAGATGATGGTGTTGTGTGCAGTGTTGGTGGTGGTGTTGTGGTGATTGGTGCGATTCTGGTGTTAGTGGTGTTTTGGTGTTGATGGGGAGTTTTAGGTATTTTTGTTGGTTGGGCAGTTAGACGTGCTGGTGGCTGTGACGGATGTGGCTGCGATTTTGGTGAGGTCCTGGTGGCTGTGATGATTTCTTTCGGTTGTGTTGGTTAGTGTATGTGACCAACTATTGGTAGATCGGGACTGGGGGTTGGGTTTTTGGTGTACGTGACCAACTATTTGGTTTTATAGGTCACGTTTTATTTCAGTGGTATGTGACCAAGTATTTAACTGTGACCTAAAAATTTGACAATATGTGACTGAAAAATAATATGTGACCAACAAATTTGAAAATATGTGA